GTCATTAACTAACAAAGTCTTAGAAAAAAATGGATCTAATGTTCAACAACCCACATTTAATTTTTCTAGTTTTCTGCTCAGTTGAATTTGTTCTAATATTCATGAGATTTCCATGATTTGCTTTATTAAGCCTGATATTTAATCTGTGTGGTTTTGGCCGTGGGCAGGACACTGTCTCTATGGGGTAGTGGGTGGGTAACAGTACAGAAGCTGCAGAGGGGTGGGTTAAACTACGACTCTGCTTCCTGGTCTGGATCCTGGGTTGTCATGGAGGACTAATAAAACTGGCCATATTCCTAGAAAGAAGAGCTGCACCATCCAAAGAGGGATAGATGCCGTCTCTCCGCATCAGACCAGGTTTTCCCCAAAAAGTTTTCCAATTATCAATGTAGCCCACGTTGTTTTCAGGACATCACCTAGACAACCAGCGGTTGAAGGACAGCATGCGGCTAAACATGTCGTCACTGGTCCGATCGGGTAGGGGGCCAGAGAAAATTACGGAGTCCGACATTGTTTTGGCAAACTTGCACACCGAAGCAACATTAATTTTAGTGACCTCCGATTGGCGTAACCGGGTGTCGTTACCGCCAGGGTGAATAACAATCTTACTGGATTTACGCTTATCCTTAGCCAGCAGTTTCAGGTAAGATTTAATGTCGCCCGCTCTGGCCCCAGGTAAACATTTAACTATGGTTGCTGGAGTCTCTGATGCCACGTTTCTGACTATGGAGCTGCCAATGATCAGAGTCGGCTTGTCAGTGGGTGCGTCACTGAGCGGGGAAAATCTATTAGAAACGTGGACGGGTTGGTGGTGGCCCACGGGCTGGGTTCATGCTTCCTGCGTACCGTCACCCAGCCGGCCTGAGGTCCCGGCTGCTCGAGTTCTGCTGGAGGTTCGCTACGGGGTGGTTCTGTGCTAGTTAGCCCCACGCTAGCTAAGTAGCTACAGCTGTTTACGGGCTTTTCAACAGCGCGGAGCCGGTACTCCAATTCCGACACCCTCGCCTCCAAAGCTACAAAAATGCTACATTTATTACACGTACCATTATCACTAAAGGAGGCAGAGGAGTAACTAAACATCTGACACAGAGAGCAAGAGATAGGAGACGGAGAAAAAGAGACAGAAGTAGCCATAGCCGTGCTGAGGCTAAGCTAACTGGACAGTAAACTGTTCAACACCAAATAAACTGTGTGCAAACTCAAATGGTTCCCTAAAAGCTAGGTGGAACAACAGAAAATGTGTTTTAGCATGCTTTTGTGCTACAATGACTCAGAGATATCCAAGTACAGAGAAATTAAATCAGCTTTAGCGAGCCCCAAACACCAAACAGCTTCACGGAGTGCAACACTGAAAACAGGAAACACGAAACGTCTTACTGCCAGTTGCAGCCAATCAGCCAATAGCAATAACAGGAAGCACCCGGGACCCGGCGTTCAGCCCCCTGACTTCGGAGCTACAGGCCCTGAGTCACACCAAGCCGTCTCGACTGGACCTGCTGCTGGATATGCCGCCCGCCGCCGCCAGATCCAAAACTCGTGGAACAACAATGACCGGTCCGTCAATGTCTTTGTATCTGTGTTTGTCACTTCCTTGTGTGAGATGTCATCCTCGTGTTTTTGCATGCTCGTGCTCCACAGACTTATAATAAACTTTTGGTTTTCTTAAATTGCCTGACTGCCTCCTGGATTTCCTGCCATTTCGGTCCAATTCAACCTACATCTTCTTGACAAACCCTAAGAAGGCGCTATACAGCTGCAGGCAATTTACCATTCTTACATTTTATCTGCAGTAAGTTGGTTTGGAGGTGACTCGCTGCCTACAAGTCTTTGGTTTGGAGGTGACTCGCTGCCTACAAGTCTCAAGAAATTATTCGTAGTTTAGTGATAAAATGAACACAAACCCAACAATGTAGCTTGTCTCTAATTTATGATCGATGATAAATGACCTGAACTTGTTAAACGCCTTTCAGAGTCAGAGGACTCCAAAGCGCTTTACACTACAGAGTAACATTCATCCATTCACACGCTGGTGCTGATGAGCTACAATGTAGCCTAAGCTATCCAGGGGCACATTGACAGAAGCACAGCTGCTGAGCACAGGCACCACCACCCTCCGACCACCAGCAGCAGGAAAGGTGGGTTAAGTGTCTTGCTCAGGGACACAACAGCAGCACTAGAGCCCAGCACAGGCCTAAAATCTGAACCCGTGTCCGGCCCGGCCCGAGGGGGTGGAGCCCCAGCCCGACCCAGTCCGAAAAGGTTTTCAGGATTCTCTGGCCCGACCCGAGCCCGAGCCCGACTTTTTTTTTAACCAACTAAATGAAAACAAAGTGCGTCAATCCTGACCAATGTGTTAAAAGACGTGCAGGATCCGATCAATTTGTTTTTCCCTCGTTTACCGTCACGAAGATAACGGCACACTGGCTCTGATGGTAATCAAGTTAAATTATATCTCTTTGCAACAATTTTCACAAGAAAACAGAACAGTTAAAAGCAGGGCTTGTGTTGACCGGACAGTTCCCGTATTTGACCGTTTATTTTGACGGAGAAAGAATAGAAAGAATTACCCCGACGCATGCAGACGAACTGACATTTTAGTCTACGCAAATCGCAGATGTAGCTAAATCACTCAAGAAAAGATTCCCATCTGAACATCTGAGCTGGACACTGCTCAGCGCAGCTCGCTGTCAGCGTGTACAACATAAGGTCCACAGCGAGCTGAAGTTGTGGAGAGGGGCTTGGAGCGCGTTGCAGAACCAGAGCGCATGCGGACCCCCGACATAGACATAGGGAGAGAATCTCATTATGTCACGTTGCTGCATCGATGCAGAATCATGCACGGCTGAATCCAATGCGAATAGTTTAGGAACACTATTCGGTATTTGCCTATTTGCAAAAATCATCAACTTAGTCTTCTCAGCATTAAGGGTTAGCTTTAGCTGATGCAATGAGTGCTGGACCAAGTCAAATGCTTTCTGCAGGGATTCAAAACCCTGAGAAAGTGATGTTCCAAAACAATAGATGATCGTATCATCTGCATAGAAATGGATATTAGCATCTTTAATATTTTGGCCCAAGTCATTGATGTTCAAGATAAATAGGAGGGGCCCCAGGACTGAGCCCTGGGGCACCCCCCTCTGGACAACCCCAAAATCAGAGCAAAGATCCTCACATTTAACACACTGTGTCCTGTTAGTCAGGTAATTTGAGAACCATGCTACTGAGTGTTCTGACAACCCAAGGCTTAGTAATCTGTTTATTAAAATAGCATGGTCAACGGTATCAAAAGCTTTAGACAGGTCTATGAGCAGTGAGGCACAAAACTGTTTCCTATCAAGTGCTACTATAATATCATTTACCACCTTCATAACAGCTGTAGTAGTGCTCTACCCTTTTCTAAAACCCGATTGACATTTCGAGAGGATTTCATTAATAGACAAAAACTCTTTTAGCTGACAAGTGACTCCATTATCTTGGAAAGCACGCTTAAATTTGATATTGGCCTATAATTTGTCAAAACTGCTGGATCTCCTCCTTTTAATAATGGTAAAACATATGCCAACTTCCGCTGTGATGGAATTTCTTTGGAGTTAATTGAAAGATTAAAAAGAATTGAAAGTGGCTCTGCCTCATAATCCGCTGCCATCTTTAAAAAATAAGGTTCTATAAAATCAGGTCCAGGTGGCTTTCTGTGATCTATGGTTTTTAAAGCTTTATGAAGTTCATGCACTGTAAAACGTTTAAAGTTAAAAGGAGCTCCAGAAAAATTTGGGGGCATTATGCCAGATTTTATCAAAGGGGTTCCTACAAAATTAAACAGGGAACCCCCGAAAGAAAATGTTCGTTAAAACAATTTAAGATTTCGAGTCTGTTGTAAACTGGAACTGAATCTCTAAGAACAAATGTAGGAAGAGCCTGAGAGATCTTTTCCACAGCAAAAGACTTGATCACTTTCCTGAATCTCTGAGGATCTTTAAGATTTTCTGTGGTGACTGATAGAAAATATTCAGATTTTGCCTTTTTGATCAGGGAAGTACATTTATTTCTCAGCTGCCTGAAAACAGACCAGTCAGCCTTGTCCCAAGCTCTATTTCGTTCATGTATCATGTTTGCCAATTCTGGTGAAAACCAAGGATTTTCACAGCCCTTAATCCTACATTTTTTTAATGGAGCATGTCGATTTACAATTTGCATAAAACTTTCTCTAAACAAAGTCCAAGCCAGCTCCACGTCTGGCAATAAATCTATATCTCCCCATTTAACTGCTGATAAATCATGATGAAAAGCCTGTTCATTAAAATGTTTAAGATTCCTCTTACAAATTATACGTGGCTTACATTTTGGTATCTTGACATCGTTACATACTGCAACAACGCAATGATCACTAAGATCATTACAAAAGATGCATTCTAAGATGCATCGCGATTCAGCCGTGCATGATTCTGCATCGATGCAGCAACGTGACATAATGAGATTCTCTCCCTATGTCTATGTCAGGGGTCGGCAACCGCGGCTCTGGAGCCGCATACGGCTCTTCCATCCATCTGATGCGGCTCTCTGTGTTTGTAAAATAATGAATGGATATTTAAATAAAAAGCTTTATATTTTACTGCATTAATTTTACATCTGTAAGCTAATTCTAAATGTAAAGATTGTCTGCGTAAACCTGAACAGGTCCAACCTGGTCTTACTGTGAGACCGGGTATACGCGTCATGCTTGTGCGTAATCATATCGGCGCTTCCTGAGCTGACGAGGATGTGAGATTCTGGGATTCTCCTCAGACGGCTCCTGGATGTGTCGCCACATTGGAGACAGGAACAAGCACTATTCAGCCAAAGTTTCATAATCAGGGAACATTTTCTAAGTGACAAGTCTCGCTTCAGTCGGAGGAATCTTCCTGCATGCACCCTGGTTCTGCGACGTGCTCCAAGTCCATCTCCACATCTTCAGCTCACTGTGCGTCGTACGTACGCGCTGACAGCGAGCTGCGCTGAGCGGTGTCCAGCTCAGATGCTCAGATGGGAATCTTTTCTTAAGTGATTTAGCTACATCTGCGATGTGCGAAACGAATAAAATGTCAGTTCGTCTGCATTGGTCGGGGTCTTTCTATTCTTTCTCCGTCAAAATAAATAGTCAAAAACGGGAACTGTCCGGTCAACACAAGCCCTGCTTTTAACTGTTATGTTTTCTTGTGAAAATAGATAAAATTAAACTTGATTACCACCAGAGCCAGGCGCACTGCAGCGTTATCTCCGTCGCTGTAAATGAGGGAAAAACAAAATGATCGGACCCTTTTCTGACCTTCCCCACCTACAAAGTTTAATTACAACAATCAAACGTGACAGAGCCTGGATTTGTATTCTGAACAGTCTAAACATGTTTTAAAAAGAAACGTGTGACAAAAGAGGCACCTGCTCAGTAAAACCACCAACAGGGTGAAAAATATCTAAATATTGTAGCAGAGACGGGCTACAACTTCTGGATCCACTTTATATAAATCGTTTTATTGATTATCTTCTTATGAAAGATAACTTTGACGTACACGAGCGACCGGTACCGGCTGCTGTCTGAGGGTAGGCCCCGCCCATAACGCCGCGGCTGCTGCGGTGTTTTCTTTACTGTGGGAAACGGGTAATAATGGCTCTTTGATGGGAACAGGTTGCCGACCCCTGGTCTATGTCTATGCAGGACAATAAAATTTTGAGGTTTTACTTCTGGGGGCAGAGTTGCAATGACATGTGCACTGCGTTGTCCTAGAAGCAATTGGACAGGGACACAGGGCCAACATTACCAGTAATCAAAGATGTACCCGTTACATTTAAATCGGATGTCTGGGCTAATTTGGGTTTTGGGATCCTGGATGTGAATGAATCACTTAACACAGTATTTGTTTACTATGTTTAAGTTCAGTAATATTCTATCTTAAAGCTGCTCTACCGAAAACATTATTTCTTATATTATTTAAGTAATTATAGGCAGCACACTTTAAACATTATTGCTCACTATAGTGAATAGATGAATGTTCTGTTTTTCAGGGATTTCGAAATCAAAAAGAAATTGAAAACTATTCTACTGCTTTTATTAAGTAATGAAAATTTTTGTGTGAAGAATCGTGATGCATTTCAGTCTCAAATCGAATCGTTAGGTAGATAATCGGAATCGGATCGAATCGTGAGGCAGGTAGAGATGCACACCACTACATCAGAAAAACAGTAAACATGTTGTCTTCCCGATCTTTTTCCCTACAGATGCGAGCCGGATTCTCTCGCCTTCAGGCTCTGGTTCGTTCCAGGAAGTTATGTGCATCATATCATGTGGCTCGTCAGCGAATCACAGGCTTCCAGGGTCGCTGTCGGGGCTTCTTGGTGCGTGGGGCGTTCAGGCACCGGCTGTGGGCTGTGATCACCATCCAGGCCTACACCAGGGGCATGATCGCTCGTCGTCTGTACAGAAGACTAAAGGGAGAGGTGAACACCCGGAGCAGCGCTGTTTATGTCTTACTTCGGCGATATTATAAAAGTTTTATGCAGCAGACCTCTGCTACTGTTGTGTTCTTAGATTTACAATCCAACCTGGACACAAGTTCTGTTCCTGAAAACAGATTTGTTCACACTGACACACATAATTATTCTTATTTTAAATGAGATGTTAGCTTGATAAATACCCACTGTAGTCCACCAGTGGATCTGGTAAAAACATAGGCCCGACCAGTACATGCTGGTCCTGTACCAGACCCTATAAGTGTAGAACAAAGGCCCACAGTTCTTCCTGGCTGACTTCTAAAGGTAAACCCACAAATAACCAATAGTATAAAGTTACCCAAGAACAAGGATTATAAACAGCAACCCCCAGCTGCTCTTGACTAGGTTTTATGAGTACGCTCCTTTTCTGGCTCTCAGTACCACCGGAGGCTGGAGGCTGAGAAGATGCGTCTGGCTGAGGAGGTCAAGCTGAGGAATCAGATGTCTGCCAAGAAAGCGAAAGCTGAAGCTGAACGGAAACACCAGGTGATCATCAGCATAAAAACATTTGAGCTTTGGGTTTATTGTTCTAGTCTGTAATTGTGTGTTTTTGGTTACTAGTAACTCTGCAGAGTTTAGATTTTGTGTGGGCTAGCCGTCACATGACTCAGCAGCTGGTTGGTTTTAAACGTGTTAGGAGTGGCTGGCCAAGCTGGCTAAAGAAGATGCTGAGAGGGAGAAGAAGGAGAAGGAGGAAGCTCGGAAAAAAAAGGAGATGGTTGAAGAGATGGAGAAGGCCCGATTGGAGCCCGTCAATGACTCTGACATGGTAGACAAGATGTTTGGATTCCTGGGAACGACGAGTTCTTTACCAGGTCAGGAAGGACAAGCGCCTGCTGGCTTTGAGGTGAGATGATGGATCGTTTCCTCTGGCTAGAATGAAGGTAACAAGCATCACTTGAAGCTTCAGAGCTTTGATTTGATGGTGAATTTTCTCTGCAGGACCTGGAGCACACTCATCGTGAGCTGATGGAGGAGGATCTAGACGAGGCTCTTCCTCTTCCTGAAGATGATGAAGAGGAGGATTTATCAGAGTACAAGTTTCCTAAGTTTGCTGCAACCTACTTCCAGGGCAGCAGCACAAACACGTATGTCCGAAGACCTCTCAAACAGCCACTGCTGTTCCACGACGATGAAGGAGACCAGCTGGTAGGTCACCCTGTGATGCTTGGCTCCTCTGAGCAGCTCTTACCTGTGAAGGTGTTTCAGGTCCTGCTGGGAGTGGGACATAATTAGTTCTGCACATTGTGATTCTGTTCGCTGCTGGAGGTTCAGAACTTTTACCAGAACTTCCAAACGTCTAAATATTAACCATCAGCAGCAGATTCCCTCAGCACAGAGGTTCTGGAGATGGACAAAAGGATGACTGCTTAACTTGGTTCCTTCTCAGGCTGCTCTGGCTGTTTGGATCACGGTTCTGAGATTTATGGGAGATCTACCAGAACCCAAGTACCACACAGCTATCAGCGATGGGAGCGAGAAGATCCCCGTCATGACCAAGATCTACGAGACTCTGGGAAAGAAGACCTACAAGAGGGAGCTGCAGGCACTGCAAGAGGAGAGGGAGGTGAGGGGGGGTGGTGAGGTGAGGAAATGAGGGGACGGTGGGGGTGGGGGGGGTGGGGGGGGGGGGATTTGATTCAATTCAGTTCAAGTTTATTTATAAAACTCCAAATCAGGACCAGAGTCGTCTCAAGGACCTGCACACAGTAAACAACACAGGTCGGGTCATTAAGCCAATCAGTAACAAGTTTCCTATGTAAGGAACCCAGCAGGTCACATAGAGTCACTGACTCGTGTCAGAGTCTTTACAGCAATCCTCATACTAAGCAAGCATGCAGCGACAGTGGAGAGGAAAACTCTCTTTTAACAGGAAGAAACCTCCAGAGAATCCTGGCTCAGTATAAGCAGCCATCCTCCACGACACACACACACACACACACACGCACGCACGCACGCACGCACGCACGCACGCACGCACACGCACACGCACACACGCACACACACACACACGCACGCACACACACACACACGCACACACACACACACACACACACACGCACACACACACACACACACACACACACACACACACACACACACACACACACACACACACGCACACACACACACACACACACACACACACACACGCACGCACGCACAAAGACAAGTAGTGTGTCTATAGTTATGTTGTGATTTCTTAGTAAATATTCTATGTGGTGAAAGATAAACTTTATTGTATTTATCCTAGTGGATCTATAATTAAACGGGTAAACTAGTAGTAGCACATCCAACGTCAAAGAGAGTAAAAAGTTATTATCAGGAGAGGGAGAATGTTTAAGTGGTTAGCAGCAGTGTGCTAGACGATGGCCCCCTCCATGAGGCCACCACAGCTCAGCAGAACATCGTTTATTTTACTTTAAAATGAGACCACAAGCAATCAAATAGAGCTTTTAGTTAAAGATAAATACTCATTCAAGTGTGGGCATGTCATGTTTGAGCAGCCATCTCAAAAAAGGCCTAGGGTTCAAGAGGTTAAGAGCTCTTAATGTGATCAGGAGGATCTTAAAATCTATTCTGAGTCTAACAGGCAGCCGGTATAGGGAAGCTAAGACAGGAGAGATATGATCTCTCTTTTTGATCCTCATCAGAAGTCTAGCTGAGGCAAGGGTGAGGGTTGGAGTTACATCAGAAGTGTATTATTAGTGACCTCCCGTTGTTCACATGCTATAAACCCGTGTTGCAGATGCCTCGCTCTGAGAACCAGAAGAAAAACAGCGTCCGACACAAACTAGTTTCTCTCACCTTAAAGAAGAAATCCAAAATCACAGAGGAGGTGAGCGAGAAACAGGGAGAAGGATGCACTCCTTCCAGACGTGTAGAGACAATAACACTTCCTCTCCGATACATTTCAGGTCACCAAGCGCCTCAATGATGGGGAGTACAGTCTCCATGGCAACAGTATGTTGGAAGATCGACCAACTTCCAACCTGGAGAAGCTCCACTTCATAGTTGGCAACGGCATCCTGAGACCAGGACTGAGGTGGAGTTGCTGTCATGTTGAATGAAAAGAAATAATGACTCAAACAAACCCTTATAGCTTTTGTTTCCTCTAATATTGTGTAAACATGTTTTAGAGATGAGATCTACTGTCAAATCTGCAAGCAGCTGAGCCAGAACCCTTCTAAAAGTTCCCATGCTCGCGGCTGGATCCTCATCTCGTTGTGTGTGGGCTGCTTCGCCCCATCAGACAAGTTCCTGAAGGTCAGATCGTCTGAGATCTCAGATAAAACACAGCCGCAGAAAAGATCGTATGAGTTATTTTGGTTTAGCTTTCGTGGTTAGTAAAACTTCTTTGGTTAATTTTTGATTTTAGTACCTGAGGAATTTCATCAGAAGTGGGCCTCCGGGTTACGCTCCGTACTGCGAGGAGAGGCTGAGACGAACGTTTGTGAATGGGACAAGAACCCAGCCTCCCTCCTGGTTAGAGCTTCAGGTACGCTTTCTGGTTAAGCAACGGAACGGAAGGATCACACATGGTGGAACAACGATTGATAGAAATTTAAATAAATCGTTATTTTATTTTAAATGTTTTGTCCTTTTCCATTTAGCTGCTTTTGAAATGTAGAGAAGCGCCTGAAACAGAAACAAGCAGTGATGCTGAGCTAAGCCAACAGAACTTGTAGCTAAAACAAGCTTGATTTAAAATCCCAAATGCAGACCTCTACTCCGTACTGGAAGTTATCCTCTAGCCGGAAGTCATGTGACCTTTTTTCACAACTCTTCCTTGAAAGTGATAAAAAAACAAAAACACTTAAAAAACAGAAAAGCTTTGAAGACAAGTCAGTTTTTTCTGCTTTCAAACTGAATCAAATGTTTGTACATTTTGAACTTGTTTTGTTTTTACATTCAAACTTGGAGAGCTTTTGCTGTTTGAGACATTAAGGTGACGTCTCTAGTTATTTCAATCCAGGCTAATTGACATCTTTGGTTTCGTGAAAACTTCTCATCCAAGGAGATTTGTCAGCTCTGACTGGAAAATGAGAGGGTCTACCCACAGAAAGGATAAGAAACATCACAACCAATCAGAAGCAAGTGGATAGCGAACTGGAACGAAGACACCTGGATTAAAAAGGAATTACAAACTAGATGAAAAAACGGAGGAACTCATTAAAGGACACATGATGGAAAAACAGGAAAAAGAGTTCACAAAAGTAAAAGAAAGACACATAAAGAAGTTAAACAAACTCATCAACAAGAAAAAGAGAAAAGACAAAACCACACAAAGCTCATGGGTATGTAACCTTTCACAACACGAACTAACAGAAGCAGAAGAAAGCATTAAAAACAGGTTTAAACTTTGCAGTCACACCAAAAGAAATACCATGTGATGAATTTATCGTAGCAACAGAACTAGCATGTCAACAGATCACAGATGAGGAAAAGAAAGCAGAACTCAGAAATAACGTAGTTGGGATATTAAAAAACAATCAGCCATGACAGCTTTATCCAAACATGAACAGATAATTATTCTACCGGCAGGCAAAGGAAGAACTACAGTGGTAATGGACAGAGGAACATATAAACAACAGATGAAACAGATGCTAGAGGACAAAAATACTTATGAAATACTTAAAAAGGACCCAAAAGAAAACATTAAGAAAAACATGAAAAATGACTGAAGCCTCTACAAGAAAAAGACAAAATAACAGAAAAAATGTACAAACACTGGATTCCCACGGCGAACATAACACCAAGAATCTAACCCTAACCCTGGAACACCAAAAATACACAAACAAAACACCACTTAGACCAGTAGCAGACAGCATAGGCACACCAACATACAACATGGCAAGAGATATCAGCAGAATCATCAGCCCGTTATTAGGAAACACAGACCAACGCTGCAAAAACCAGAGGTGGAAAGTAACGAATTACATTTACTCACGTTACTGTAATTGAGTAGCTTTTTTTGTAAATTTATACTTTTTAAGTCGTTTTTAAACGCTGTACTTTTACTTTTACTTGAGTAAGTTTTTAAAAAAGAAATGTAATTCGCTACATTTTAAATCATATCCGTTACTGAGTAAAAATAAATTATAGGCTTAATAAATTAAATATATTACGTGTAGCAGCGTCGGAACAGAAAGAGAGTTGCGTGAGCACCACATCTAACCCGTGGGGGGGTGGGGGTACATTGTAGATAATGAGGACAAACGGCCATTTTTACCACAGTTTTGCTCAAAAACATCAGTTCAGTCCCTGTGATCCACTCGCTGTTCACCTCCTCTCTCCCTCCTCTCCTGTGGGTTGGATCCCGCACCTTCGCGCACCGGTGTGACGTCATCAGAATTCTGCTCGGTTCGGTAGCCGGTTCCGTGTTTGAATTGTGTTTCCCCACCGCTCCGCACGGAAGCAGCAAAACAACGTTAAGCGCTCCTACAAGCAGATTATCAGCGCTCTGCTCATAAAACAGAAGACCTGCAGGCCTCTGTGAGTTAAAACATCCTGATACTGTTCAGGTGTAAACATTGTGCTCCATCCCTGTGTTTGAACTCAGAAGATGCTCCTTGATGCCGCAGATATGTGATGATTTAGCTTGTTTCTTTATTTTACTCCAGAATAAGAGATTAAATTATTACTAAAGCAGTTCAGTGTAGTTAAATTAGTCATTGTGTGTGTGTGTGTGTGTGTGTGTGTGCGTGCGTGCGTGCGTGTGTGTGTGTGTGTTACACATATAGATCTGCATGAGACAGCATGGTTTCATCAAATCCATGCATCTATCTTGGCTGAAGTAACGGCTCAGGAAAATAACTTATTTCATAAATAATGACGTCTCTGCAGTGTTTATGATAATGTTTTATCTTATCTTGGGTCTGGGAGGTGCAACTTATCATGATACAAGCCTTTTAAAACATGTTAAAGTGTTACAAGAGGAGATTAATGCATGAATTTAAAGTTCATGTTTGGAGACCAACCTTCACAGTTTGGAGGCTCACGCTGGTGAGGAGACACCGTTAGTTCTAGTAACACCTGGGCTCCCAAGGCCTGTTCTGACAGGATGGACGTTACGGGACCCTCAAGGATTCCAGTTGGATGATTGGAGGATTATTTAAGAGGATTGGAATGAACACACTGATTTCAGTGGTGAAGGGTTAAATGAGTGAGTGAACCCACTACCAAGGATGAACTCTGCTAACTTTAAAAATCAGCTGCTCTATTAGCTCAAGCATAAGGAAACATGAAGGCTTCAAAAGTATTAGTATCAGCACCTCTCTGACAGCATGGTGGGAGTATCTTAAAATGACAGTCTTCACTAGTACCATGCAGACGCACACCTATCTGGAACAATCCTGATATTTTGCAAAATAACAAAACGATGAAGCTTCCGGACTGGAAAAACAAAGGAATCCTATACCTGGAACACATATATGAAGGATTGGACTTCATCCCATTTAATCAAATAGTCTCCCAATTTGGAATGGATAAGAATAGCTTTTTAGAATACCACCAAATTAAATCTGTAGTCAAACAAAAATTTAAGCTCAATAAAATAGAATTACAAACACCACCAAGGGTATTAGACTTTTATAATCTCAAACACCCCAAACTACTGTCTAAAGTATATAAGACACTGTCCAAAATAGACGATAAAATTGCAATCCCTATTGAAAAATGGGAGGTGGATCTATCAGTCAGCTTTGACCAGAACTTCTGGTCCCAAACTTGTTTAAAAACTTTTAAAACGATCAGACACCCCAATTTACAATTAATTCAGTACAAAATTCTACACAGAGTACACAATACACGTCATCGGATGTTCAAGATGGGGTTTGTGTCGTCTGACACCTGTACACACTGCACAAACAACATTCCTGACAATTACATTCATGCACTGTGGTCCTGTCCACCTGTCCAGGAATTTTGGGGTAGAGTATGTGAGGATCTGTCAAAATGTCTGAAATGTCATATCCCAACCACCCCCTCTCTTTGTTTACTGGGAAAACTGGACGATGTCCCGACTGAAACATCTGTGGTTCACGTGGTTCTGACTGCCATATGCATCGCTAAGAAAACTATCCTCTTGAATTGGAAAAATAGAGAAACTCTCTGCATTAACCAGTATAGAAATCTTTTGTTAGATCAAATTACACTTGATATAGCCTCTGCTTCCACTTCAAATCAATCTCTCTGGGCTCCTTTGATCGGTTCCATCACATAGCGAGGGTGGGGGGCCGTTGATGTTGTCCTGCGGGATGGTGTGGGTGGGGGTGTGGGGTCTGAGTTTGGAGTATCCGGATGTTCCCTGGAGGTGGGTTCACTGGGGGTGTCTGGGACTGGGGGGCCGTTGCCCCACTCTGGAGGTGCTTGGGTTGCCTCGGGGGGTGGGCTGCTGGTGGTTGTGAGTGGGGCCCCTTGGGGATCTTGGCGGCAGCCATGGGTCACTGCCTGGCAGCTGCATTGCCCCTGGGCAGGTCTGGGTGGGGGCCTGGGGGCTCGGGGTTTGGGGGTGGCCGGCCCCGGGTGGGGATCTGGGCGGGGCCTTGGGGGTCGGGTTCTGACATGTATGCTGCCGGGAAGAAGGCAGGAACATGCAGCAGTGCCTGGCCCGGGTTTGGGGGCCTCAGGTAGACCTTGGCTCCTCTGCCGTTCCATCACAGGAGAGGGGGAGGACCCAACCTTACCTGGATGTCCCATGTCTTATATACTCTGGAAGTTGTGCAAATGCAGGGATGGGCATAGATATTCTGCTGGGGTGGGGCTGGGTTGGTGCCCTCGGACTCCGTGAGGCACTGTAATGCTGCTGCTTTGGGCCCTGGCAGGATGGGCTGGGGTCTCCATAACCTGGGTGGCAGTTTGACAACAGAGGTGCCTATTGGGGCCAGTAGGGGAGCTGGTTCCCTGGAGGGCTAAGCCCAACCAGCCATTCCTCCCCATCCCTGCATGTTTCTCTCCTCCTGCTCCCTCACATCATCACACAAACATGCACATAGGACCTTGGGGGGTGGGCAAGTCAGGGAGTGCGGGTATGGACCCCATTTCCGCATTCCTGTGGCAACCTGCCCCCCAATTTTATTTGCACCTTAAACACTTCCACTGACGACATTCCACACAAACACACACTTAGGGCCTTGGGAGTGAGCACATTAAACGGCATTTGGCAGGGGGATATTTCAGCCTCCTCCCGGGTGCCGGTGCCCACTTCCAATTTTAAACCGCACTTAGACACTGATGGCTGAGGGAGTAAGTGGGGTGGTGCGGTGGCATCAGCTGGCATAGGCCGGATGATGCCCGTACTGCCCACTCACCACAGCCATGGAATACACCTCATGATCACACAACACTATATTAGAGCAGGCGGAGGGAGACTAGGGGTCTTAGCCACCTCTGTTGTTGCTTGGCTTCCTGGGGCTGGAGGCTAGGAGGGAGATCTGGCCGTCTGGTTGGGGTCTGGGGTGGTAGATTGCTGTGCTCAGCGTTGGGCGGGGGAGCCTGCTCATCAGCACCCCAGCAGAAAGGGTCAAAGTCTGGTTACCGGTGATGGTTGTACCCCATGTGCAGCAGTACCGGGATCAGAGTGAATAGGGTGTGTATGGGGAGCATGAGTGGGTGTCCGGCGTGCCTTTTTGTAAGTCTTGGGTTGTATGTGCATGTGTGAGCATGAGGGAGGGAGTGTGTGACTGTGTTTGTGTATGACTGTATATGTCAGGTGGGGCCTTTGACTCCTCCCCTCTCCTGGAACTTCTTTTGATGATATAGATCTCTGTCCCCCTCCCCCTGCCACACCTGGTGTGAGGGGTTGTGCCTTGGTCTGCCTGAGTGTTCGTGGCAACCGGGTCTGGGGGTTTTAAGATTTTGGCATCTGCCTGTTAGATCCCGGTGGCTGCCTGGTGGGGTCTGGGTCCCTGGGCTCTGCTGGGTCCCCGGCGGGGGTGGTCGCCCCTGGGTCCCGGGTCGCTGGGTCCCGGGTCGCTGGGTCCCGGGCTCGGCCGGCAAGGGGGTGGGAGGCTGCGGGCGGGCCTGAGGGCTTGCCGCTGATGTCTCCCGGGACTCTGCCGGCTGCTGGTTGTGGCCCCCCGGGGCGATCCTCTGTGCCTCTCGAGGGGGGCGGGGGCCTTTCTGGTTGCAGTCTCTTTGGGGTTCCTGTGTTCTGGGGCAGCGCCTGGATCTCTGGGACTTGGAGCTCCCCCCGTCTCCTACACATCTTTGGGGGCGGATCTGTGGTCCCTCACACTCTCTGTTGGACGCTCCTATAGAGAAACCTTACATAAACAAGCGCGTGTACACACACAGGTGCTCACATGGTGCTCTCAAAAGTATGGACTTGGGCACGTTAAACACTTGTCTTAAGACTATGGTGGGCACTTAATGCACTGTGATTTATTATCGTGATTCTTCAGTTAAGCAATGTTGATTATATATTTCTTCATCAAGTTGACGCAGTGATAGCTAGATCTTGTTGTATTGTTGTTGTGTCCCTTTTTTTTGTCTTTGTCTGCAGGTCTAGAAGCAGACTCTTGTTCATTGTTTATTTTTGTGGATCCCCCCCTCTCCCCACCTTTTCTTTTCCTTTCTCTTTCACCTCTGTCTCCGTGTCTGGTCAGAATTACAAAGCATTCAACAACAATAACAATAAAGTTTTAAGTATCAGGCGTGACATTAAAAGCAGACGCTTTGATGCTCCACCTGAGAGTAAATCTGTAAGGGTTGTTACCAGCATTCAGACATCAATTGAAGAAGAAGAAGAAGAAAATATAATTTCTATAGCGCCTCTCAAGATAAAAATCACGAGGCGCTTCACAAAAACAAAAAATATAAAAATTGTAAAAATATAAAAAAGCATTTAGAAAATCTTTAAAATATATTTAAAATGAGCAAGAATAAGCAATTGCGATTTAAAAGAAAAATGTTAAGAAAGAGAGTGAATAGGAAAGAGGGAAATCAGTGGATCCTGAGGAAGGTGGAATAAGTGGCGAGAGCAGAATAAAGAATAAAGAATTCTGCTTGCTTCACAGCCAGACAGGACACGGTAAAAAAAAAATCTGCTGCTCTGAATAAACATGAAGGTCAGAGAGGAGCTCTAGGATGGACATGGATAAAGGAACTGTAATGTAGAGGTAAAGTAGGGCAGGGCCAACGTTAGCAGCTGTCATACGGTCCATCTGAAATGTTTGACTTTCATTTAGCTTGTTATGTGACAGGTTAGAGCACAGTCTCATGTTAGAGTTTTGTCATGAGAACGTTGAGATACCTCACATACTGATGGCATCTAAAAAATTATAATTTTTTTCTCAAAATAAAAATAATTTTAATCACAATTGAAACCTACCATCCTAGAAAAACCTCGTCCAATCAATGTGCACGTCCTGTTCTCACTGATTGGATAGAAATCCTTCCATCAAGCTGTGCATGCGTGCGTGTGTGTGTGTGTGTGTGTGTGTGTGTGTGTGTGTGTGTGTGTGTGTGTGTGTGTGTGTGTGTGTGTGTGTGTGTGTGTGTGTGTGTGTGTGTGTGTGTGTGTGTGTGCGCGCGCACATGAGCGAATTGTGAACTGGCATTGTGATTTAGCTCTACTTAGATGTAGTCATCCTTACACTGACAAAAATGTAACTAAGTAACTTTTACTTTGAGTACATTTTGTTTACGATACTTTTTACTTTTACTTGAGTAAAAAATTATCAAAGTATTGGTACTCGTACTTAATTAGGAAATTTTAGTACTCTTTCCACCTCTGGCAAAAACAGCATAGGACTGTCAAAAGAACTAAAGGAGATTACAATAGAAGACAACGACATACTCATCTCACATGACGTCACATCTCTGTTCACAAAAACACCAACCCAACAAACCATAGACATAGTAGTTAACAGAACCAGACAGGACAAGACTTTACACAAAACAACAAACCTCACAGCAGACGACATAGCACAACTGATAGCACTGGTAGCTAACTCCACTTACTTCACATACGACAACACAATATACAAACAACTGGAAGGCTTCGCCATGGGTAACCCGTTATCAGCCACCCTGTGCCAGTTTTTCATGGAAGACCTGGAACATAAAGCCATAGCCACCGCCCCCCCAAACTGCAAAATAAAACTATGGAAACGCTACGTAGACGACATACTGGAAATCATACCAAAAGGACAAACAGAAACACTAACACAACACTTGATAACATTGACGACATGGGCAGCATAAAGTTCACATATGAGTCAGAAACAGAAGGCAGCATAGCATTTATGGATATGAAAATCACCAGGCAGACCGACGGGACCCTAAATATAAACACACACAGACCCATATTTATCATGGACATCAGAACACCCCACCATACACAACATGTCAGTAATCAGAACATTATATCACCGAGCAAACATGGTAACAGAAGAGAGAGACCGTAAACAAGAGGACAAACACAGACAACACGCTTTAAAGACCTGCGGATACCCGACATGGGCAATAAACAAAGGAAAACAACAAACAACAACATAAAGGAAAGAACAACCTAAGCAAAGAACCAGAACCAGTGATAACCCTACCATACATCAGAGGCATAACAGAAAAAAATAAGAGCAACAATGAAAAAACACAACATAAACACACCAACAACACCATACACAACAGTTAGAAACAGACTAGTACACCCAAAAGACAAAATATCAGCTGGACTTAAATGTGGAGTCATCTACCAAATCCCATGTAAACTCTGCAATAAAACATAGATAGGAGAACCCGGACGCCAACTCAACACACAAACAATAGAACATAGAAAGGAGTGTGAGAAAGAAACAAGTCTAAAACACACAAGAGCAGCAAAAGAAGAAGCAGAAATTACAATAAAGCAGTCAGCCGTAACAGATCACTGCACAAGAGAAACCATGTAATGGACTGGAACAACACAAGGATCACAAACACCGAACAACAGAAATACAAAAGATGGATAAAAGAAGCAATCGAGATAAGGAGACGTGGATGTGGGACCATGAACAGGGACGACGGAGTTTACACGCTGGACCACGCATTGGACTGCATCGTCAGAGAGGGGAGAGCGGGCAGTAGAGGGCGACAACGTCCTCTGCTGCCCGCAGATAAACGGAGAAGGAAGTGACGCCACCATCAGCGTCAGCTCTGAGGATGTTTGCAGCCACAAATGAACCCATCAACAAGGTAGAGAGAAACCTT